TGAGCCTGGCTGTCCAGCTTCTCTCACACTCAACAAAATCCTCTTATCTCTGAGGTTACAGAGAACCCTTGCACCTCATCAAACACCAGGCTGAGAGCATCTGAAGGCTCTCTTTGCTCTGGTCTTATTTGGGTCTCAAGAGAAAACGAACTCATATTGGGTCAGAGTTCAGTTTGGCTCCAGAAATGAGAGTTCCCATGCCTTAGGGGACCCACAGGAACTTATGAATGATGGTCATTACTCCCAATCCCAGCCATGCTCTCCCCTAGGATGATGCATGCCATCGAGCTAGCATGGGCATAATATTTCATTGAGAGACACAAAGAGAGAATTTGAGCTAAGGAAGGGGTTGTTAAAGTGTCTGTTTTTGTGAAACGGGTCAAGACAAAACAATAGAATTTGCCGATATCGTGGAGAAACGCTTCCTCAAGATTGAGTACCCCTGGATGGAATCTCTGGCTTAGAGATCTCCATGACTAGAGTGATGGCAGAGCCACCATAAGACTCACATTAGTTTGCACAACTGTTATATAAGAAGGTCCTCAGCGTAACTCTATTGCTCATGACTTTAAAGACAGCACCTCTCTAGAGACAAGGCAAAGATTTTATCTTTGACCAAGTTAGGCATCCTCCTTTCCCACCTCCTTTTGAAAGAGGTCCATAGACTCACCACAAGAAACCAAATGTGACCAGGATATTGGAAACTATTTGACTTTCTGAGGACACGAGGCCAGGAACCTGGGTGATGTCCATCTCAGAGAATGACAGTTATGCCCAGGGCCTTCTCTGAAGAAGCAATCCCTGTGAAAAGGAGGACTGCTTGTGTGAGCAAGCTGTTTAGTACCTCCCTAAGTATGTTGTCTCTTCAGAAGTGGTTCCTCCACATAATGATGAAATGAGATACCGGCTCATGTCGAATCTCTCCAGTAGGCTGATGCATTGGTGATGGTCCAGCTTGCCTCTATGAGTAGGAACTTCTCATTGATTGATGACTCTCAGTGACTGGAAAATAATTGGTCATCACAACCGATCGCAGCCATGTACTCCTTTATGATGGTGCATGCCATGCAGCCATGCTGATCAGAAGTTTTCACTGAAAGATACAGAGTGAGATGGGGTGCTCACCAAGTGATGTTAAAATGCCCAGGAACTGGGATAAGGATTAAAGTATAAGCATAACTTAGGGAAATTCATAGAGGAGCATATTCACATGGTGGTGATCCCCAAGGTGGCCTCCCGTACATCGCATTCTCCAGCTCCAAACATGATTGTACTGCCTGGACCATCCTCATC